ATGCCCCCTACATCCCTTGCTAAGCCACCTTCTTTGAGGCCGGGGCCCCCGCCAGGAGCGCAACGAGATGGCGATTCTCTACGAGCACCTCCTCAGCATGAAGCGGGCAGAGGTCGGAAGTTCTTGCAGGGGTTACTTGGGTATTGTGGTGCGATGGGTGCAGGTGGCAGTAACCAGGAGTTACTCCTATGTCCTCAGGCCCCCCACCTACAGGAATACCACCGCCACCGCCACCGCATCCGGGCGTAGCGTCAACCAATCTGGCTGGGAGCGAGCAAGTGCTTACTGCTATGGCAAAAGGGATTGAGTCGCTGTTGCTAAATCAGGGGAGCAAATCGGATCGTCCGGAAACTGTGAAACCAGGGATCAGTGAACTTCCTCACCTACCTCCTTACACGCCGGAAACGGGTAGCATCGACTTGATCAATTGGGTAACGCATATTACACCTATTATGGAGGATTTGAGTGATTCGTCGAGTTTGTGGTGGACTGAGACCCTCCAGGAGGTTATGGCATGGTATGGAAGGTACTCTGTTGCTACGCCTCTGGAAAGGATACAGTTGTTGCCGATCACCACTCATGTGCGGCGTGCAGAATGGGCACGCGTGGAGAGGCGGGCAACGGCCATGATGCTCACTGCAATTCCTTCAACGATTAAGGAGGAAGTCATAGCTGCAGGTGGCGTGTCCACTACCAATTTGCTGGCGAAGTTGTTTTCGACTTATCAACCTGGGAACAGACATGAGAAAGCCTTGGTTTTGGCTAACCTGGAAAAACCAAGTGAATGCCAAGATGCTCTGGGAGCTGTGGAGGCTCTTAGAAAATGGGCTTTGGCGAGAAAGAGGGCGATGGCTATTGGGATAACCGAGCCGGATGCTAGCGTACTGCTGCAAGGACTGGACCGGATCTGCGGCTCGGTGGTGCGATCCGACAACGAGCTGGCCTTCAGGGTGTCGTTGATTCGATCCACCCTTCAGGTGGATGTGTGTCCCACCGCCGAGTCGGTGACGAAGTTCTTCCAGCACCTTCAGGCGGAGCTGGAGCAGCAGGCACGGCTTGGTGTGGTGAGGACTGGGGACTTGAATCCTAAGTTAAAGGCGCTGGGAGCTCCTGTGGATTCATCTACGACGTCCGGCCCTACTACACCAACGGGGACCCCTTCAAAGCCTTTAAACAACCAGTGTAAGTTCTTTATGTCTGAACGAGGTTGTCGTCGTGGAAAAGAGTGTCGGTATCCGCATGTTTGGTCAGCCTTTGAGAAATCGGAGAGGGCCAAGCGTTGCCTTATTTGCGGTGCAACGGGGCACAAGTCCAAGGAATGGAAGGCGCCAGGAGGCGGAGCTGCTCAGCGAGCTAAGGAGGGAGGTCCAAAGCCTCCCGCGCCAAAGGATGCATCAGCTACTCCGTCTTCGGCGCCCTCCAGTGGTTCTCCTTCACCGTCACGCAAGGTGGGGTTTGATGTTGCGGCAGAGGCGGCGGTGAGGGTCTTGTCAGTCTTTCAGGAGATCAACAAAGTCAAGGCCTTTGCACCGTTAGTTGAAGCAGTGGATCGTTGGTCTCAGAAGTGGGCAGCTCCAACCAGCCCAAAAACCGCTCTTATGGATAGCGGCGCCACCCACCCTTTGAGACAGCCGCGGGATGAACAAGAATGGTTGGATGCTCTGAACGTAAAGGTCGCATTAGCCGGTGATGCTAAGACTACTATGAGACAGACAGCAGCTGGAACACTGTTAAGCGGGGATGAGCTCACTCAAGTAATCGTGCCGTTGGGTCGTGTGATCGATTCTCTGGGCTATCAGCTGCGGTGGGATTCATCCATGTGTTGCTTGCAGCGTGGAGATGATGAGCTAATTCCACTTCGTGTCGTACGAGGGTGTCCTGAAGTGGATGAAGCAGTTGCTCATAGGCTGATTCGTGAGCTTGAGCAGACCCAAGTCCCCCGCTTGCAAGAGGCCACCATGGAGTCTGTCAGGATCCTCAAGGACGTGGAGGTCAGCTGGTGGTCCTGTTTGGTTGAGTATGTTACCTCTGGGGATATCCAAGCGGGAAAGGAGAGTCTGATGAGATCTATGTTTTACGATGATGAGGATCGTGAG